TTACTATGATGCAGATCATCCAAATTTTACTATGTTTTACAACCTCCTATAGATCGGCGGGAAATGTCATGCGACTAAAATTTCGTAATTTTTTGTCGATTTTGCGATCAACATTTTCACCTTATTAAGCGAATTTTAAGTCGTACGGCAAATATTCAGAGTTCTTTGCGATTGCAATTGCCTTGCCCATTACCTTGCCCTGTTATTTGCAATGATATTGCAATGAACTTCCTCTCCCCAATTTTTTTTTTATTCGAAAAAAGGTTCATATGTTTGATTGTTGATCATCTATCGATCGAATTGGGATGAATTCGTAATAATAATAATAAATGAGGTTTAGATTATTTTTTGTTGTAAATAGATATATTATTAAATATATTACAATAATGTTAAATTGTAAATAATAGATATTATTATTAATATTATTTTGTTAAAGAAATCGACCAAGACTTTTTAGGAATAGCTCATGTGATTTGGGTAGAATTAATTGCTGTTTTTTTATTAGATTAATATTCCAATTTGTTTTAATTTTTGAGGAATGTCTGATTTGCGTCAAACAAAATCCCGAAAACATTTTTTCAGTTGTTTACACAGCCGCGCAACCAAAAATTATTACTTTTTATTATTATTGGGTAAAATAAAAAAGTACGTCAAAAATCCGAAAAACGTTTTTTCAATTGTCCTTCAGCTACACAACTAAAGTCATTTGAATATTATTAAACAGAATCTATTTTTTTAAACAATAAACAATGTCTTTTAAAAATTATGACTAAAATTTACGATTGATAATTTTTTTCTGATACAAATAGCGTTCGTTATAACGAGAAGTTACTATTAATTGGTGATCCACCGATTAACGATAGAAATTTGTTATGCAGACCCGTGATATTATTAATATTAATATTAAAATTTGAGATCACGGAATCCAAATTGACCATTAAAAATTCTTTTAATATTGTTATTAAATTAAAAAAAACTTCCGTTTCAGATTTTTAGAAATATAATAATAATAAAATATTTTTTAATAATGACCATTATAGACTTTTGATTTTTACATTATATTGCCAATTAATTGCATTGGAAAACAATTTTTCCTAAATAGTAAAAGTATATACTGTATATTGTAAAGGTTACATGAATAGAAGTTTGTGGATGGGGTTAGTTGCTTTTGCTTTTGATAATTTTTTGAATTTATGCTGGAGAAAATGTTTTTACCCACGTCAAGTAAAGATCTAGCATATTGACCTTCTGTCAGCCATTGGATATATCAGCTATTGTGTTTATTTTTCCTTATTAGCCCATTAAAAAAACTTATTTCAAAGAAATAATTTTGTTAAATAATTTCTATATGCAATTTGAAAAAAAGGATATAGGCGGAACCAAAAAATAATTACCATTTTGCAAGATTTTTTTTTCATACAGGTAATGAATGCTATACAAAGTTGGATAACTTGTTTTTGTATTAGTATTAATAATTCAATGGAAGTATATTTTATCGCATTCCACGAGTTTATTTGTATGCATTAGAATTTTTGTGCATCAAATTGTGGCTGGGAATCGTAAAACCTGTTCCAAATCTTGAAATATTCATTGTCCATTGACCATTTTAATACAAAATGACCAACTTGTCATTTCTTTTTGACTTTCCTTTTGAACTTTAATAGAAATGACCTCCTCACCAAAGAGCACTCAAAAAATAACTGATAAAGTTGAACCAAAAAATGAACATCTCGAACACGTCGAGCTACGGCATGGTGAACGTAAATTACATGTTTCTTCATTTGAATTTACAGAAAACTCGGGTTCCAATCCAACTTCTATAATCTCAAAACATGCCTCTTCACATGGGTTGGCCTCAGCAATTATTCATGCTTATACCCTTCACCAACACCTTCGATTATCACCAGATGATATATGGTTAACAATTGCACAAGGTATTAGTAGGCACATTTTCAATAACGCTGAACGTTTTCGTTACTTATTTGTTGACCATGAAGGTCAGGAAGATGTCTTTGTGGATGCTCGAGATATTATAGGGTATGACTTTCTAGGTGATTGGCCACAAGCGATTTCTCGGCTTTCTGGTGCTATTGATAAACGAGTTAAAAAAGTTGGTTTAAAACAGCATCTCGAATGCGATTTTTCTACCTCAACAAATTCATCTATTACTGCCAGCCAAATTATCTTGTTGGATGCGATGAAAAAGTATTTTAGATATAGATTGAGGGGTGGTTGTGGTATTCCAAAGGTTACCCTTGATGGCACCTTGGAAGATTGGTTGCATCTTCAAGAAAAAGTTGCAAAAATTCGTGATTTGGGATTGGAACTTGATTTCTGGTTGGATAGGTTAGAACCAGTCATCACTCAATTTGTCGCCACCTATAAAGGAGACGTTGACGAAAACTTTTGGAGCATGGCTATTTTCAATACTCCTTATTCTAGTGGCATGCCGACTCCTTGTTGGAATGGATGGATAGGTGCTTTGTTCCCTTACGGCGAGTCAGGAAGGCAAATTATGAGGAATGAAATTATTCCTGCTGAAGTACCTTCTGGATTAGTATATGTTCCTTTCAATTTGGGTATCTTGGCAGAAAATTTTAAATTAAAATTTGCTGCAGGTTTTTTCGGTGCTAGACAAGTTAAGGTTAACGATGAATATGTTATTTCACCTGTTATTGGTTGGTATATTGCTGATGCTTAAAATTTAATTGTAAATTAGCTAGTTATATATTTGAAATAAGAATAATAGCAAATATATATGTCCTTTAAATAAAACAGTTATAAAGTGGGGCTTAATTATAAACGTTGATTACATGTAACATGGTACTTTATTTAAAATGAAAACAGGATACATTGTTTTCCGCAGAATTGCACTCACTGCCTTTTTCTTTTGAAAGGAATTAAAATATTTATATGTAATGCAATCTTTTCTTTTTAACAAAAATTTAATGAAAATGAATCTAAAGTACCATTATTATTTATTATCACTTATTTCTAAATCCACAGATTTATAAGAACTCATATTAATATCTAGCATACATGTTAAAATTGAAAAAATTTCTGATTTAGGTATTTATTGTATCTGAAAAAAAAACCCCCTTGAATATTTAAGTTAGCTTCACTGGATTGGCAAGACTCTGTGAAATAACTAATTGTGTGATCAAATCTATGCTTTCTCATATTGCATCTACTTCCATGATTGAGAATCAAAAGAATTATAATTGCTATTTTTTGAGACGCAGAGGCTTGAAGGATCAGGATCAGAAGTGTCACCCTCAGCATAATAATTTTCAATTATAATGATCTATCTTATGTCTCATTGCAACCCTGCTGCAATGATATAAATTAAGTCGTTCAGGACGTGACAAAGAATTTAGCTAAACCACCACCATGTTGTAAGGATTAATATTGTTACAGATAATTTTTTAAATTTAAAAGCAAGTTATATACATGTTCTTTATTTATATTATGAATTATCTTCATTTTTATTGGCCTCATTATCCTCCGGTTCAACTAATCAAAAATACCTAAGAAAATTTAAAATTGTTTTGTATTTGTTGTATGTGAAATTGAAATTATGTGAAATCGAAAATTAAAATGGAAATTGAAATCCGTAAATCCGTTCCCTTCTCCATCACATAATTCACTACTTTGCTTAGTATTATAGTTAGGAGAAAATGTTTGTTGTGGAGAAAATCCGTTATTATTATAGACAGTAATGATTTACATATTATCGTGCTTAAATTCTTGATCCGTTATAAGGCAAGATCCATGAACTGTATCAAAAACCAATAGAGAGTCAATAAAGAAAAGAACAAAAAATCGGCGATATAGAAGATGAAGATATTATTAAAATATAGGATGGATTTACGTCAGAGCGACCAAAGATAGATAATTACTTATCAACGGCTTCCCTTCCAATTAATTGCTCTGGTGGTTTTTTTATCTCTATGCCGTATACTGCCACGAACTTTAATATTTATATAAATTAAATATTTTCTCTTGGTTGAATCAAGTAGATAAAACGTTACTTATTGTTATTTAATCTTTTCCTTGAATGTCTTCGATATTACAATCAATATTCATGATAATCATGCAATGAATTTGATGTAAATAAATAATTGCATCGCCCGGACTACAGATACTAGGACGAACTAATTCTAAATCAAATCTATGAACTTCAGACAAAAATGCACTAAATCCGGAATGGAATATTCCATTGCTTGGTAAAGATGAAGTATAAATAAAAATTTTATTCTTCATTTATTTTTTTTGATTATTGTTTCAGAATCTGGTCCAAGAATGAATGATGTAAAAGCTGAATTGATTACCATTTGCGCCGATTTTGTTTGAACCTCGAAATTTAGTGCGATATGATCACGACATTATGAATATACTAGCAAAAACCCATTGGTTTGAGGTAGGCCATTGGTTTGACGGGCTGTTGAATAGTAAAATATTTTTTTTTAGCGGAGCAAATAAATTTTTTTAGGGTTAATTATCATTCTACTGATTAATTTACACGTCAAGACACAAAAAAGATATAAGGTTTGAAAAGGAAAATAAATGTGAATTAATGGAAAAAAATATAAGAACAAAATTAAAGGTATGCCATTAATATATAAGGCTCTAAACAAGTTGGGTTTTAAAGCAACGCGATTTTTAAAAAACTGGATTCAGATTAAATCGGATTTTAAATTGATATTATTATTATTATATTTAAAATTTATGCTATAACTAGAAAAAGGCAACAAATCTATTCATCTATAATAAATTATGTACAGAATAGGTACCAACTAATACTAATACTAAATAGATACAGAATGAATACGGAAAAACATATTTTTGATACGGAATGCATTATTATTATAATTAGATACATACGGACGATGCACTTTGCCGTACTAACATGGAATCTTCCTACTAATATTAAATGCACAAAAAGTACGGAATTCATACGAGATAGGTACGGGATATGGAATGTATACTAATACTAATAAAAAACACACAGGATACGCACAAAATTATGGAAAACATACAGAATTAGTATGATTTATGTCTAATTATAATATGAAATTCGTAAAAACGAATTTCGTATTACCATTGTCAGAAGAAAACGAATTGATGGATTTTGTATTGATCATTGCCATAGATGTATCAATAGGACAAAAATCAGCTGGTTCATTGAATGAACAATTACAGGTAAAAGATGTACTACATTTATGAACAAATATTTGCCCAAAACAATGATTAGTATTAGTATGGTAAATTGTTAATGTATAAGTAAATGTTTGATTGCAATTAATGCAAGTAATTAAATAGGAGCCTTCTTGAGTGCAAACTGAACCAGAAGAAGAGGATCTGTCAATTTTTTTTTTGCTGGAGCAGGAGTAGTGGGCTTTGTCCAGTTTTGTCTTTATCACAATTTATTTTATTTGTCATTTTAACTAACAATTAATAGCTATCATATGGAAGTAAAATATTTTTTTGACTTGGTTGATTTACTTAAAATAGTAAAATTTTGGTTTAAATGAACAGCAGAAAGGTTTAACAAATTATATCTTATTAAATATAAATAATCAAAATAATTGTATTGGTAGGGAGAAATTCAGTATGGTATAACTTTTGCAGAACATATGGTATGGATGAAGGGAAGCATGTTAGATTTAAGTATTGGTATACAACCATTTTATCACACTTACAATACCATGCCATATGTTCTGCCATACTGAATGTCTGTATATTTTATTTATAATCATTAGATGAGAAACTATAAATATGGATATAGATAATCAAATTAATCTAAATATTTATATCCATTAGATGAGAAACTATAAATATGATAATAATATTAATGTTAATATTGATACTAAATCTTAAAATTAATAATTGAATAATTATTGATTAATGATAATCACCATTATTATTACCAATAATTGTTACTTTATTGGAATTCACAGGTTGAGGAAGGTTTGTAAACTTTAATAATCTGCTAGTATAAACTGCATTTGGATGAATTACTGTGGTAATTGTTGAAGGATCAAATTTTATTTCATCCATTTTATCAAACTCTGATTCATGATGCCAACCATAAATAATCTTTTTAATTTCTCCAGCAGTGAGGCGTTCATCTGGATTAGCATTCATGCATTTGAATGCTAGTTCAATATAGAATTTTGGAGTATTGTTTGAGAATCCTGGTCTTTCACCTTTACATATTTTTATTGCAAGATCTACATCATGTGCCAAATTATTAAATGGTTGTTGGCCAGTTGATACTACAGACATCAGAACTCCAAAACTGTATATATCTGATGCCATTGTATATGGTTTCTCTTTTAAAACTTCTGGTGCAATATATGGTAGCACTCCACATATATTATTTTTGTTTGATGCAGATGTTTGGCTAGCTAGGCATGATAATCCTAAGTCTGTAATATATGTCCACATCCTTTCTTTATATTGAAGAATATTACCACTATGAAGATCATGATGAATAACTCCTTCCTCATGAATATCCCTTAAACCATTAATAATATAATAAAGAATTTTAATTTTGTCTTTCCATTTTAAATTTTTAAAATCTTTAGTTAAATAATTTTGAAGATTTCCATCTTCCATATATGCCATTACAAATATATATTCTTTTGTAATTGGTTCTTGTGTTAATCCATAAATATGAATTATATCATCTTTATCATGAAACTTCATATAATTTTTGAACTAAAATGACAAAATATTTAATTACAACAATAATAATTGGTGATATTTTAAAAAATCAAAAACTAATATTATAAATAATTTACCTCATTAAGAAATTCATCAGAAATATTCTGTGAATTATGTAGTTTTTTTAATGCCACAGTCCAATCTTTATTAGTTCTTTTATTTCCATCAGTATCTTTCTTACCATTTAACCAAGTAGCTTTGAATATAGTTGCAAAACCACCTTCACCTATCTTTTCAATATTTGTTAAATCATTATAAGGAATCCATTCAAGATAATATTCATTATAATATCTTTCTGTTTCAAGTTGTGTACTTTTAATCAATTCATCTAATGTTTCATTGCCACTAGTCCATCCTTCAGTTAACAACTTTGGATCACATGATTGACACCATGAATGATTGGTATTATATCTATTGCATGTTGGGCATTTCCCATATACTTCATTCCTTTTCTTTGAATATTGGTTATTGTAATATTGAAAACTTCTATATTTAATGTATTCCATTACAATGATATATTCTTCTGTAGCTGGATCTTGTGTTGATCCATAAATTTTATTTGTAAATGATTTACCATAAAATGTAATATAATTTCTAAGCTATATAAAAAAAAAATATTGAATTCAGAATAATACTTTAAAAAATGAAAATAAATATAAAAATAAAATAATTTACCTCATCAGAAATATTTTGTGAATTATGTAATTTTTTTAATGCCACAGTCCTATCATCACTAGTTCTTTTATTTCCAGCTTCATATTTATAACCATTTAACCAAGTAGCTTTGGATATAGTTGAAAACCCATCTTCACCTATTTTTTCAATGTTTGTTAAATCACTATAAGGAATCCATTGAAGATAATTATCATTACCATACTCAGTTGCTTCAAGTTGTGTACTTTTAATAAACTCATCTAATGTTTCATTGCCACTAGTCCATCCTTCAGTTAATAGCTTTGGATCACATGATTG